TCTGTTCTTAGTTATCTTACAGCTTTTGATTGCACTGTGTATGTGTTGCAGAACGCAAGATGTGCAGCAGAGCAGACACAGACGGTCACACGCCAATCATCGACGATAACTATTGCTCCCATCCAAGGTAATCAACATAAATATGTATTCCCAAGTTGTTTCAATCATTTTAGCACTAGAGAAGGACTTGACTTTTGTTTATATTTTTGTTGATAACAATTATTGGATGCTTCCATGTGGATTTCAGGGAAGGAAAAGTCACCGGAGCTTGATGATGGGGGTACAGGATTTCCACCTCGTGATGACGATGGCGGTGGAGGTGGAGGTGGCGGTGGATGGCACCACTGGTCGGGTGGTTTCTTCTTTTTTGGTCTTCTTGCATTTCTTGGCCTCCTCAAGGATCAAGAAAGTGAGGGACCTTACAGGGATAGGAGAAGAAGATGACTGATCCACCCTCATTGTAGTTATTTGTATGATAAATGATATCATATGGGTTTGCCTTCGCTTATGAATAAAACAAATTGGCTTGCTATCTGTAAGATTTACAGAGGCAGAAATGCGATTGGATATACAGAAATTAAAGGAGTTAAAATTCATATTTCAATCTGTCACTGCACCCCTTCTCTAATGAGATGATTTGTGCTTCATAATTCCATTCTTTTTTGCTGATGGATAGACTGTAGAGATAGTAAAAGTGCATAGATGAGTCATAATTCCGTTTATTTAAAGATGGAAGGGCAGACCAGTCTTTCAATATATCAATCCATGCTAAGATCCAAGAGGACAGAAGTGTTCCTTTTTCTTTCTGGTGTTCCAGATATGCTAAAGCTTGAATTCAGGGTGTGAAAAGAAGTCATCTCATCTTAAGAACAAGAGGTATACCATGGAGAATGAAGGTAGAGCAGCTATATTAGAGCTAATTATATATGCAGGATTTTTATTTTATATTTTTTAAAATTATATTAGGATCTCTATATTTATAAAATATTTAATTTTATTTTTTCTTATATCGTTGATTTTGTTGATGAAAATATTAGACGTGTTGTCACGTCCGAAAAATGATACTAAAACTACAAGAAAGATCCTTTCTATCGATTATTTCACTTCGTTATTTAACAAAAATTTTCTCTCTTTCTTGATTTTTAACTTTATAAAATTATTTTTTAATATTATTTTTTACTCATGATAATCTGTGTGATATTTTGGATAATAAAATTAATGACATGAGGAACAATAAAATTAAATATTTTATTTTCATAAATATAAAGATTACAGTATAAATTTTAAAAATATAGAGATTAAAATATATAAAAAAAAAACTAATTATATGATATAATTTAGAATAGATTCACTCGCTTTTGATGCTATATCGTAGGACAGTGGAAAACCAGAATGGATGAGGACTACTTGGAATCCTTCCTCACTATCCAACAGCTAGAGAGCCACTTTTTTCTTTTCTGGGTGTCGTCACCAACCTTTTCACCAGCATCAGGTCTCCATCATGCTCATGAGGGCCCATTCTACCCTGCATCTGTCATAGCGTGGGAGCACAAGCTCCCTAGGTTTCTGCCCCTCTCTGCAGGGGAAGCAGAAAGCTGTGTGCTTCCATTATTTGCCGACTTTTAATGCTCACTACATTGGCAAGCATGACAATGTGGCCGAGTGCGTCCTCCGGGAAGTGAGGTGGTGTGGAAGAACAGTAAAAGTTCTGCCATGGCAATGCAATGAAACAATGGGGAGAAACTGCAACCGCAAGGACGGAGGTAGTGTGATCCAACTGCAAGGACTAAGCAGGCAGCAGAAACTGCAACATCACCGCACAGTAGCCATTCATCTCCTCCCCTGTCGTCATCCTCACTCTCTCCTGTTTCGACCAGCCAAAGAACGGATTTAAGAGAATTCCCCACCCTCGAATGGAGTCCATGTGATCTCTACTCTCCACCAGTCTTTGTTCACGGTGGCCCATCTAGGCCTGGAGTCATGTGATGGAAAGGAGGCAAGGTGAGAGAAGTAGAAACCGGGAGAAGAAGGGAGAAGTCAAGAAGGGCAAGTGTTTCAGGATATGCATCACCCAGCCAAGCTTTTTCTCTCTCCTCCTCTCTCTTCCCTTCCGAGCCTCAGACAAAACCAACCCCCCAAAACTTGCCAAAATTGCCGCAACCCATATCCCATTCAATTTATGTGGGCGTATTGGTCATCATCAGACCTCGGAGAACTGGGGAAGGAACCTTTCCCTGCTTTTATTGCTCTACAATGTCATCTCTTCCTTTCATTCTAGCCGTTGCTCTCTCGTTCCCTTCCCTTCTCCTTCCTAAAGATCGGATTTTGAGACGATGGTGACGAAGAAAGGGAGGAGCTTTGCAGTGGGATTCTTCCCATCTTGCTCTCTATCGCCGGTCGGTGAAGAGGACAAGGCGCGCTTTAGGTACCAAAGCCTTCTTCTAGATTATGAAGAGTTAAGAAAGGTGAGATCTTTGGGCTTCTTTACCTATTTGTCTTCAGCTTTTCCTTGAATTAGTGGGGCTTTTTTTTGGGGGGTTGCAAATTTAGTTTGTTTATGAGTATTTTTTCTCATAATGAAATAATCTTTTTTTCTCCTCCATTCTTAGATTGTGAGATCTGAAAGTAATCTTGTTGCAGAAATAATTTCTTGTCATGCTCTTTTAGACGGATCTACACTTTATTGGTTTTCTTTTCCTTTTTCTTCCTTTTATGGATTGAGTTAATCTTTAAGTTCTCTTCTAGTTTTCCTGCCTGTTGGATTTGTAATCTGGTGCTTCAAATTTTCCTTTTGTCTGAATGATTAGAAAGCACTCTTCTCTAAGTTTTAATCTAATCGTTGGAGAAGTCAATATAACATGGGATGTCATTCAGTAGTATGAGCTTTCTCAATCTATTGCTGCATCATGAACAACATTTACAAGATTTTGTTTTGGATTCTATTTCATCAGGAAACTGAATCAAAGAGGCAGCAGTTGCACAAGGCCAATATGAGGAAGCTAAAGCTTCGAGCCGAAGTCGAGTACTACATCTTTCCTTTATTCCATTGAATTCATTATTTCTCTTGATTTCTGGCTGACACATTTAGAATTGATTTAAAAGGTCAGAGTTCATAACCCTGTATTTTTGGATGGTCTACAACCAAATAAACATTCTTGTTGATGGTGGATCATGTAGATTCTTGCAGATGAAGTATGCTTGCCTATTGAAGAATCCTTCAGGAAGAACACAATATAGACTCAAAAAGAAGAGACCACAGATTAGGCCATTCGAATCGCTTTGCAATAGTTGTTCGAGTACCGTTATCGAGTGTCAAGCTCGTCTTTCAACCGTAAGAGAAGATGATCTTCCTAGGACTTCAACAATTATAGACTTGAACCAGGTCTGCTTACAGTAGAAACAAATACAATTACTGGAATTGCTTGCATTCGAACCTAAGCAGCACTCTTGGATTCATAATTGGGTTTTCTGTTGGCAGGAAGCCGAGGAAATGGAGGAGTTTCAGGTCACTTGGGAGCCCTTAAAAGCAGATACATTGAAGAGTTGTTCCATGAATGGAGGAGATGTGGTGGCTAATGATCTGAAGCTTCCGATTTGCTGAGACATGGGAATCAGACCAGCCATACTGAATAGAGGAAAATTACATGGCACAATCAAGTAGCTCAAGGATTTAGGCTCTCCTCACTTGTATAGTGTGTCTGAAATGGATCATCCTACTGTCTTTTCTCAAAGGGAAAAGAAGGCAACTCATCTAATTTCACTTCCTACGTCGATAATGTAACTCTTAGCAATGGTGTTTGTCACTTTGAGAACGATATGTATCAATTTCCTCTTTTTCAAGAACGATACTTTTACCGATACAATAATTTTCTCGAGTTTTACGGTGTGTTGCAATCTGAGATAGATGCTATGTTGCTTGATAACAGAACATGATGAATCAATGCATTTTAACTTGTATAATCCCACTGGCACAGATGAACACCTCTCTGTGAAGCCAAAAAAGCTTCAGCTACTGTGAACCATATGAAATAACTTCAACCAGCCTTCTCTGAGGCTGGTGCACAAGAAGAGTTGATGTGTACATGTTCTTTAGATCTCCTCTTGCTCATTCTTTCCTACTTTCCACCTTGGTTATCTGTTCCAAGTCCATGCTGTCCTGATCACTAGTGACAAGAACTTCTTCTCATGATGCAGTAGTGCAGTGTGCAATGAATAATGCTTCAGCTTGTGTCAACAGTCTCTCTCTCTCTCTCTGGTGTAGCATGGACTGGTTGGCTTCTTCAACTGCAGTATACCATGGTCATGTTTGCTGCATTTAAATAGAGCATGTTGGCTATCAACCACATGTTCTTGATGTCTCTCATTCTAATTGCCAGACTAGAATGACATCTGAAACCTCAAGCAGTTCTACCCCAACAAGACTGATCCTGAGAAATAATTTTGACAAGCATTTTGTTGAAATGTTATTATCCTAATTTGGAGAGGTACAATACACACAATCTTATCTTTATAAATTTGAAGATTTTTATATTTATTTTATTTTATTTTATAGATGTTGATGTATATATTTGTGTGTGGAGGATCATTATTTTGAGGGATGTATATGCATATAATTATAAGAGTAAATACACTATTTTCATACTTTCCAGGGATAGATATGTAAAAGCACTCTCCCTCCTTTAAAGTCACGTGAGCAGCAGGTGCTATGAAGTGTCACAAGATTCCCCCCACAGTGGCATTCATCGAGTATTCTGCTCGAAGTGGGAGGTTAGTTTCGTCCACTCACAATCCATCATTTAAACGAGAAACTCGTGGCAGAATACCTCGTTGCGGATAAGAGGTTGATGGTAGCGGGGCCCATTTAGGATCCGCGGTGTACTGGCGGGTACGCGGGAAAGGAGTAGAGCACAATATGAGACTCAAAATACAACGAGATAATTACGAAACTACCCGTCGACCGCCGGACCGGCTCCTTTCCTTCCCTCCCTCTTACGCTACCCCGAGAGCGAAGTGGACGACTTCGCGAAGACCTACCTCCATCTCTCCTCTCGTCTTCCACATGCGGAGGTGCCGATCGGGTTGACAGCGTGTTCGTAGCACTTACGATAGCGAGAGGAGGTGATTCGGTGAGGCATGCAGACGGATCGGACGGACAACAGCTTGAGGCCCAGCAGCAGCGGCGGGACCCGAGGCAGCGGAAGCCTCCCCCCCGGGTTCGATACGGCCGCCTCCAATCTTCCCGTCCTCGGCCCACGTGGCGATGCCGGCGCCCCCCTCCCGCTCAAGGTCGTTGGGAAATTAAGCTCCATTGATGTGTGGCTTCTTTGGGCCGACTGAAGCTTGCGTCTTTGAATCGCCTGATCTGATGTTCGATATCGGTTTTCGTTTTCTCGATTGGTTGGTAGATTGATGCATCTGTTGTCGTTCTATCTGATCTCTTTTACGTGTGCTGGAGGGAGTTTGATGGAAAAGGTGAGGTTGTGGTGAAACCTCATCCCAGGTAGGTCAGAATCGTGCTTCCCATGGGTTAGACGGTGGAAGCAAGCTTCAGGATTCTGAAAGGGTTCCAGATTATATCTTCTGTGCTACTGAATAATTTGGCCATTTCTAATTGGTATCCTCATAATTAGAGTGGATGAATAGTTTTTTTATTGTCATAGAGTTTGACTTGTCTGTTTCGATCGATCAGTTGATTTCTGTGTCCGTTTTTGCTTGCTGTGACTGGTAGCTCATATACTTCATGTTCCTGGTAATTAAACATTGTAACATGCTTATGGAAAGATTCCAGCGTCAGTCTGTCAAGTTACTGAGATTCGCTGTCTTCTTTTTAGCTTCTGGAGTTTATATGATTCTTTTATGTCATATACATTTGGCTAACACGGCATGCTATTTTGTCATGTTGTTCAAGTGATTATAAAGGTTGTTTTTTGGGAGATCTCTTGTTGCTTTATTTATTGCCTTATGGACAACTGTTACTATGATTTTAAGGAGTATTATACAGCATTATGTAACTATTTTACCAGACTGGAGACTTGAGATTCGAAAGTCATGAACCCGTTCATTACACTAGCTATCAACTTCTAAAACTTCATGAGATACATCAGAATATTCATTTCATGGAACCTATTTATTTCGTCACATTATGATCTCTTATTGTTGCTATTAAACATGGTGAAACTGGTTACAATTTTTGTCAGTATGTTAGTCTCTGACAAGGTTAGTTGAATCTTGATTGCATATAGATTATTTTTTGCTAGTTGAGAGAAGCAGTTCATTGCTGAACTAGTATGACTCTAGTGGGATTGTTACAGCATAGTTTATCACTCTTTAATGAGAATCAATCCAACTCATTGTTTTGTCAAACTTCTTTTTCAAATATCTTGTATTGTTTGATTTCAGATTCATTTTTTCTCCCAATGTAAAACTGGAGTTTTCCGACATATATATTTTTTGTTCCTTTTATTAAAATGATTTTTTACTTAGTAAATTATCTTTTCGCTTGCCTTTGGAACATGTGATTATTTTAAAGGGATTTAAATAGGAGATTTGTCATCGTTGCGGAATGCAGAAACTTAAAAGCTAATCAGGGGTTAATAAATTGGTAGATATGCTTGTTTGATCAATCACATCTTTGCAATTAGATCTCTATAACTGTTTGTCTATTTTTTTTCCGTTTGGCAGGCTATGCAGACCTCAGGAGACATTCTAAAACTCAAACAGGAGATTGAGCCAGAATTGTTTCTGGATGATGAAAGTTGGGGCCTTAGTGATGCTAATGTATGATCTCCTACTTCTACATGTCAAAGTGCATTACTAAGCGTCAGAGCAACCTAATTTCAAAATCAAATGGTTGTGACAACCACACCAGAATCACAAGATCCATCATGAGTGATGTGGAATTCTAGGCTTTCTTTCATAATTAAGGCATGTTACCCCTCTGATGGATAAATGTTCACTTGATGCATATTAGGCCCCATCTTTATCCATGTACCATGAGTGACTGATTCCCCATTACCATAATTTTCTTGGCCATGTTGGAAAGTATGGGAGCTTTGCCCCTCAAAATGTTTCTCTTTTGGGAAGGGTTGTGACTTGCAAATATTCTTACCGTAGCTAACGTCCAACGTGGAACTAATTGTGGCTATCACATTTGGTCTTACATTTATTTCTAAACATTACACAATCCGAGATTGTGTAGGAGTAAGGACAAACTTCTTTATTTTCATGATCAAGTTGTGTAGTTTTCATTTGTCTATCCTCATAAATTGATTAAGATGTTTGGAAATGTCATCTAAAAACTTGTTTGTGCTCATCAGTCGGCAAGTCAAGCACAAGGTCATTATTCTGGATCAGGCAGTCATGATTGGCATGGCCGTTCAGGACAATCTACTTTATTTGGAGATGTGAAGTCTTGGGATACAATTTATGGGAATAAAGAATCAAGTCAGCTGAACTCAGGACATGAAAAAACATGGCGATTAAGTAAGCGGGGCTCACAGTTTCCATCAAGCTATCAAGTTTCTTCAACTCAGGTGGTCTTATATTAGTTGGACTGGAGGAATGATTCTTCTGCTTTTGTGTTTTTGGAGCCATTTGTTCTGCCTATCTTCTTTTCATGTTCACTTGTGTTTTGTTGGTCTTGTCACTATCGTGGTGATTTATGGCCTTTCTTGTTGTTCATGTATGATACTTATCATTCCCTTTTGCATCTAAAATCATGGTGCCTGGGTGTTCCTTCTTTAAGTGACCTTTCTTGATTGTATATAAATTCTGTAAGTGAACTTTCAAACATAGTTTCATGTACCCTTTGTTAGCAACACTGTTTTGCTAAGTTTTTCTTTTATCATTTTGTGAATTTGTTGCTACATGATGAAGAGTTCATTTGCTCCTTAGAGAAATGTGTTTATTTAATTTGTGATTTTCTTTCCTTTTATGACTGGTCTCGTAGTGTGCTTTTGTTTTTGCCCATCCCATATATTTTCTTTTGTAATAGGAGGTTGGCTCCCTGCAAATTGATCATAACCCTTTGTTGATATGATCATATGACACAGCTATATGACTCTAACCAATGTCATTCTTCCTTCTTTCCTCTTACATCATCTTTCATATTTTCCGTAAGTTTTACCTTTTTTTTCTGGTGTCAAACCTTTTCATGTCCTCTAGATCTTTGGCAATTATTTTGTTCATTTATTTTTTGTTTACAAACTCTAAATTTTGCTTCTTGTCAGTACATTATATGGGCTGCAGATGTCCTATATATTTTTCTATGTATGCGTAACTACATATGTGTGTAGTTAAGTTGATCCTGCCACTTTCCTGATCTAATTTTGCATCTTTTATAACATCTTGGTTCAAACATGCATATTCTTAAGATGTACAACACACGTTCTTGTTCTATGCTAAAAAAGGTTGTCTCTTTGTACGTAATGAGTTTACTGTTGACACTTCTAGTCAGGATGGCACTTTGTAAGCATCACCATTTCATTCATCCTGCTATAGTTCTCTTTGTTTGTTTTGCTTTGTGTTTATATCTCATTTTGTACTTTTTATGCTAATCTTCCATGATATTTATTTTACCCATTGTGTCAACTTTAGTTAACTTCAACATCAACATTCTTGCTAGTATTGCTCATGCACATTGGCAGCAAGTATGGAAGTCATTACTTGGATTATTTATTAAAGGGCATTTTTCTTTCAGATGTAAAACATAATTTTAGTGTAAATTTTAGGCAGGTGTGCATCATGATATTTTGAACTGAAGTTTCAAATCTCAACCGTTCAATTCTTGGCCTCACCAGTCAGTATCAGACTCTTTTTAGGTATTGAAACATATAGCTGGTTACCAATACAATATATTTATATTTATTTTTTATTATATTACTTGACGATACCAGGCAATATAGGTCGGTATACTATATGATATACTGGTTTCGTATTAGTTGACTAGGTTATCGAAACCAGAATTGGATTGAGAGCTAAATCCTTGCTTTGAATGATGCATATTCTTGAAATAGTTCTATGTCTCAGCTTCATTGGGTTTGTTGACAATTTTCTGCAATACGATATATTTTACTTGATCATGCAGGGTAGTTTTGGGCCATGAGACTGAAGAAAGGAACTTTGCCTCAGTTCATATATCTCCATGTGCCAAGAATTTTCCTGTATTATTACCTTGTGTACTTAAATGATCATACCATTTTGGTCACCTTCTAGAATGCTTGTGGACATTTATCCGTTTTATCTCGACTTATCGTTTTCTTGATGTGCCTAAACTCACTATTTGTACATTTTTTGTGTGCATTTAGATCTTCTTTCTTGTTCGTGTTTTGACATGTGTCGGTTCCAATTGCAATATTGTAGGTAGGAACTGCCCCTGCTCTACATAAGGCTGAAGTGGCATGGTCAGCACGAAGAGGCAATCTTAGACAAAAAGAGCACGTGCTGAAAACAGTAAAATGGTAATTAATCTAAATTTAGTCCAGCAGAAGATGCCGATGATTTTCATACTTAATTTTGTTCTAGCTATGGGGGTGCCTTTGTATGTGCATAGGTCATCCTTCATGGATTAATTTGGATTGGGCAGTGGTTATGGTTCATATTATGTTTCTGCTTCTTGAATTCATAGACTTCACTTGCAGTCAACATAAGGTGTATTAGTTAGATTTTCCAGAGGAGTTTTCAGGTTTTCGTTATGGTTTTCATTGCAGTATATTGAACAAGCTGACACCAGAAAAGTATGATGTTCTCAAGGGCCAAATAATTAATGCTGGAATTACTACACCCGATATTCTTAAGGTTATGATCTCTCCCTAACTTTATACGATATCATCATTGAGAAGTTCAGCTCTAAATTATTAAGCTTTTATTTGGAAATTTCTTATGCTGCAGGGTGTCACTGCTCTCATTTTTGAGGAAGCTGTCTTTGAGCCAACATTTTGTCCTGTGTATGCTCAACTGTGTTCCAATCTCAATGAAAAACTTCCTGTATTGCCCCCTGAAGAAGAAGGTGGGAGGGAGATTACTTTCAAGCGCATACTCTTAAATAATTGCCAGGAGGCATTTGAAGGTGCTGAGAAACTGAGGGATGAAGTCCGAAAGCTGAATGGACCAGACCATGAAATGGAACATAGAAATAAAGAGAGAATAGTGAAGCTCCGAACTCTTGGTAACCTTCGCCTTATTGGTGAGCTTTTGAAGCAAAAAATGGTGCCAGAGAAAATAGTTCATCATATTGTTCAGGTGACTGTTGTTTATGTTAATCCTTGTTCTTCTATATCTTTAACGAGTGTCCTCTTTCAGGGACTTCCTGATATATTTACTGTCTGCAGGAGCTTCTGGGGCATGATGGAAAATCATGTGCAGCTGAGGAAAATGTTGAGGCGATCTGCCAGTTATTGAAGACCACAGGGAAGCAGTTAGATGAGAGCCCCAAGTCTCAAAGGTTTAACGATGTTTATTTTAACTGGCTGAAGGAGCTAAGTATCGATCCTCAATTGCCACCACCTCTGAGATTTATGGTTCATGATATGCTTGACCTACGTGCAAACAATTGGGTCCCTCATCATGAAGTGGTAAACTTTGTGCTAGTTCAACTCAAAGATTTTATTTTATCCCTTTTGGAACAAAAACTAAGTTGATTGGTGATCATGTCATTGGGAATTTGAGATGACTTCTTCTTAAGAGACTCACTGTGTTTGATGTGATTTTCTTGTCAATTGATGCATTATTTGCACTGAACATGCTATATGCACTTTTTATATTTATGCATATATAGTATTGTTTAGAGTTAAGTTGATCCCTGCCACTTTCTTGGTCTAATTTTACATCTTTTGTAACCCACAATTTGGTTCAAGCATATCTTCAGATGTTCGACACGCATTCTCGTTAGCTACTAACTTTAAACCTAGATAAAAATGGTTCTTTATTGTACGTATAACTTGACTATTGGCCAGTCTCAGGATAAAACTCTGTAAGGCATCTTCATTTCATCCATCCTGAAACAGTTATCTCACCCATTGTTTACTTCAATATCTGACATTTGACCTAGATTTGCTCCTGCACAATCGCTGCATGTATTCAATTTATTACATGAATTATATACTAAAGGGCCTGTACTTTGATGTAATACTTAAATGAGTCCACCGAAGGCAAATTTAGATTTTAGTGTTTAAGTAGAAATTTTAGGTGTGCGTACATCATGATACTTTGAACCAAGGTTTCAATCTCATACCAATCAGTTCAGACCCATATTTATGATTCAACTAAGTACCAGTACTGGAACGTAGAGCTCGATACCAAGGCAATACATCTCTTTTTATTTTTATTATTTTATTCAATGACACTAGGCGATATAGGCTGGTGTACCATCTGGTATACTGGTACCATACTCGTTTTGTATGCTACCAAACCAGAACCATATTAATAGTTAAATCCTTGCTTTGAACATTTCATTTCTGAGACGTTCTGCAGTCCTTCCTTTTTTTTTTACCCTGATAATTAACTTGTTCCAAATGTGTAATTTATGTTGTTTTCAGGCGTATTCTTGAAATAGGTCTATGTCTCAGCTTGATTGTGTTTGTCGACAATTTTCTGCAATACTATGTATTTACCTAACCATGTAGGGAGTTTTTAACCTTCGGACCGAAAAGAGGAACTTGGCCTCAATTCATACTATCTCATGTGCTAAGGATTTTTCTGTTATCACTACCTTATGTACTTGAATGGTTATACTATCTTGCCTCTTGGCCACCTTTGCAATTGCTCGTGGGACATTTATCCTGGATTTATTTGTTGGCTTGTTATATCTGGACTCATTAGTTGTACCCTTTTTTTGTGCATTTCGATCTTCATTTTTGTTTGTGTTTTGACATTGGTCAGCTCCAATTGCAATATAATAGGTAGGACTTGCTCCTGCTCTACATAAGGCTGAAGTGCCGTGATCTGCTCGAAGAGGCAATCCTAGTGAAAAATAGCTGGTGCTGAAAACAGTAGAAGGGTAATTATATTAATTCTTAATTTAGTGTAGCAAAAGATGCTGATGATTTTGTACGTGCATAACAGAAGTCATCCTCCATACATTAATCTATATTGGGCTATGATTCTGGTTCAGATTAGGCTTTTAATTGCTTTCCTTGGAATTCATAGACTTCACTTGCAGTCAACTTATGGTGTATTAATTGGATTCTCGGGTGAAGATGTTTTTTTTTATTATTGCAGTATATTGAACAAGCTGACGCCAGAAAAGTTTGATGTTTTAAAGGGTCAGATAGTTGATGCTGGAATTATGACACCTGATATCCTAAAGGTTATGATCTCTCCCTAAATTTATATGATATTTTTGTTGAATATTTCAGCTCTAATTTATCGAAATTTTATATGGAGAACACCTATGCTGCAGGGTGTAGTTACTATCATTTTTGAGAAAGCTGTCTGTCTTTGAGCCAACAATTTGCCCCGTGTGTGCTCAACTGTGTTCCTATCTCAACGAAAGACTTCCTTTCTTCCCCATTGATGAAGAAGGTGGGAGGGTGATTACCGTCAAGCGTGTACTCTTAAATAATTGCCAGGAGGCATTCGAAGGTGTTGAGAAACCGAGGGATGAAGTCCGAAAGCTGAAGGGAATAACTGCTATCGATATGAGAAGTCATTTAAAAAAGGTTTCTGGTAATCTTTCTCCACACCTCAATTTTCATGCAACATAAAAAATACTTCAATTCCTCGTTAAAGTTGGTAGCCCTCCTAATGATGTTGCTAACTCTAAAATTACCATCAATTGCCAAAAGAAATAGGAGAAGAGGAAAAGACTAAAAAGCCTTTTGACTTCTAAATCATGATAAAGACAAAACCAGTCATCATCAAATCCTCTCATGTACATGGCAAAATTTAAAGAGAATATAACTAAATATAAATTAAATACTGCAGATTGCTGAACATTTGGATGATTCCAAGAAGAAAAAGAAAAGAGCCCTTTTTTTTCTTCCATTATATAAAGTGAGTTATCAACAGTAAAAGAACGCAGGAAAAAGTGAAATATCACAACTTTTGTGGGTGGTTGTTCCATGAATGCAAATTGCAACACCTCATGGGTTCATAATTCATGTTACATGAGAAAAGTAATGGCTAAATCATTGGTACCATGAAATGATCTTGGATCCTAAGAGTTGGTGAAGATATTTGGAGGAACAGAAAAAGTCCAAAAATTAATTAATTTTTATTGTAGATAGTAGAGACAAAGAATTTGTTTGTGTCATCATCTATATTTGTTCTATTCTTTTCCTTCATTTGATTTGTTTTTCAATAATGAGAAACCCAAATGTTCCAAGTATTTATTGTCAATCAATTTTAGCAATAACTGATAAGAAGATATTTGAAAACACCACATTAAAAGAAGGAATTGATTGATATCAAGAAAAACATTTCATTAAGTCAGATGTGTGGCAAAATGAAAATTTAAAATATTTTTCATTCACAACTTGCCAAATCACATTAATACATTCTAAGTTTAATCATTATGATGACAATAAACAAGCTTTGCTTGGGGGAAATATAATGATTATCCACAAGCATTAGCATAGAAAACTTTGAAATGTGTTATACTAC